GAGAGCGCGCACTGCAAAAAGTTTGCAAAGAAAACCCTATCACACATCCTCCTCAACCATCAGTAGACCAGCTAACACACGTAAGAAATATGTCCACATTCATTATGGACGTATAATACCAAAAGGCCCAATGCAAATCTTGGAAAAACATTCAACACATAGAGTCTCTGTTGTCACATATAGTAAGTCTGCAGCTATCAAAAGACAGGAACGCTTTTAACCAAGTCCATATTACCCGCAACACATACAACATCTCTAGATTTCCTTTATTACTATAACATACCTAAATATTCTTCAGCTAGCTAGCTTTTTCTGTTTCGAAGTACAATATACATCTCTTCCAACTTTGCAAATAAGAAAAGATCCACAGGTCAATCAAATATTGATCCAAAATACTGATTTAAACACACACACAAAATAATTATTTTCTCTTTGAATTTCACATATGATGATTGATTCTGTGAGCAAATCTCTCCAAACAGCATTTACATATGCAAATGTTGGCTCAACTGTATTCCATAACTTATAAAACTGCCAAATATCAAAGACATTCTGTGAGTGATCTGGTATCCTACATATGAAAATGTAGGTCGTAACAAAAAGCACTACTTGTTGTGTATGTCAAAAGACCCATTCTAATCTTAGTGCTCATGGGTTTATAACTAAAGTCAAGCACATGGAGGTTTGTTTTTTTTGTTGGTTAAGGACATATTTTGCACTGTGTTACCTGGTTTCTCCTTTGTACCTTCAGTAAACTGAAACAGGGAAATACAAGAACTTCTGGAAGCTCTATTATAATGAGCTATGCTTAGAGTAAGAAAGGTGCCACACACTTAGGTATACAAGGTCCTTCTTCAATAAAATGCAATGTTCTATTGTTCAAATACCTGTTCCTGCTAAAAAAGTTGATCACTGAGAACAATAGTATTAATGATACCCTATTTTCATAAATATTTATAATGTGAAAGATATAAACTGAGACCTGATGTCACAAAGTGCCCCCTCTGTCCTTGAGCTTTCCACACAACACCAGCAGAAAGTGCTTTCAGTAGAGCCAGGCGCCCTCTGGACTGATCTCAGAAACCCTTCCAAAACGAAATATACTCTTTCCAAATCACTTTCAAAATGCAGCCCACTAACATTACTCATAGTGCAATTTCTCCCCCACCACTGCTCTTTTCCCTTCTCTGCAGAGATTATAATCTATGTTCCCACTTCAGTTATGCCACTCTTTTTCACTCATTTTCACTTACGCCTGTCAGCTCACATGCCAGTGTTTAACAACACTTCTAGTCATGTTTGTTTGTTTCATGAATGTGTGTATAAATTATTTCAGGAAAGCACATATATGGATGGATGCAGCCAAAGCCAAATTCAGGAGAAGCCTATGCTCCAAGCCTCAAGCCTATGCTCCAAGCCTCAAGCCTATGCTCCAGTCAAATGTAAGCTAACTCTGATTCAGAAGCTGTCCCAGTGGAGACTGAGGACACCAGAAACACCATCAAAAAGAAATGGTAATGGATTGGGAAACAGAAGACATAATTCTACCCTCCCTACTTTGCTACTGACTGTGAATAAGCCAAGCTACTGATTCCCATCACATCATTTGTCTGCCTTACTCATTTAGATTGTAAACTCTGCAAGGCAGGGAATATCTCGTGCAAACTGTTTGCAAAGAGCTTCTTCACACAAAGGAATTTTGAGTGGGAAGCCTGTATTAATATAATAGTGCTTCTATTAACAGTAGTAAATTTCAAATTGTGCACATTGAGCAAAATCATCAATCAATATATTTTACTTCCAGAAGGTTTGTTACTAATTTTGCTATTCTTGGAGGCAAGGACAATATTATTATAAGCAGTCACCTCCTGTTGCAACACTACAGTGTTCCTGATACGCAACTACCACCTGTTCATTCCTTTGGTGACCGTTACGGCTCTGTTCTTTTTCCCTTATGACTGGCACAAGAAGATTTTACCACTGTTCTCATATACTCTTGAGAGCTGCCTGAAAGAATTCCTATTTTGGGCATATATTAATTAATTACTTCTATTCATGCCAAAGTGAACTGTAATCAGCAGGGAGCTCTTCATCATTTTTCAGAATATTTAGCACCCTTACAGTGACACCATTTGCTGTGCTTTTAGCAAGCAGCTTATTGCTCTAATTCCTTCTTATGAGATCCAAATTTGCAGGCCTCATTCTTCATCCAGTCATTACCAATCTTTCCTTACCATGGCTCTAATACCACTACTTGCCCCTTAGTCACTAGCTAAGACACTGATTTCCCCTGTGCAGAGCAGAATCAGTGTCTAGTCTTCCTCTTATTTTTCAAGGACAAAACACTTATCTGAGGTACCAAATTAAATGTCTCCACACATCTTCCTACAGTTTTTCTACGGTTGTTGTTGGTATCAAATCACCTATTTAAGACCTCAACTTTCTTTTTTATAATAATTTCCCTTTAATGTTTTTCCATTCTATCTTCTTTTTCTGTTTGTTTTACAGGTTTCAGCTACCATGAAAGATCTTTCCTTCTCTCCAAACAGAAAAATAAATGCAGCTTTTACATTCTCAGTTATGTTTTGCATTAGCTGCCTGAGATCCTAAAGTAGCTGTCAGTCCAAATCTACTTGTTCTGTGAGCTGTGAAACCAATAAAGTTTGCTATCCTGGAGTATTTCCTATATCCCTGCCCCATAATGCTGCAATTATCCTGCAAGCTTTTCCCATGTCCTCTATAATCTCATTATCTGTAATACTCTTTCAGTCCTCCTTCCTGACCTCTACATTCTCCAACAGTATCTAAGACAAATAAGTTCAAAAGTAATTTATGAAAAATGGAAGGATAAAATGGACTTACTAGAAATTCTACATTACCATAAAATGAAATTACTTAAAAGTGACAACTCAGTACAAATCTGTTTTTTGTTTTATTCTGCATGCAAATCCCTAGGCCTAGAAAACAAGAGCTAGTTAATTTGTTCATATGTGATGTTCACTCCGAAATTACAGATGAAACATAAATGCCAGCAGTTAGTGTTTCAGTAGCACTCAAGTTTTACTAGCATTCAGTTCCTTATGCAAAAAGCCCCCAAAAGCCTACCATAGGAACTCAAACATCTCAAGCCCTCAACTGTTCTTTTTATGCAGACACATTTCCACAATAAAGAACTACACATACGCAAATATACGACAGAAAAAGCTGCAAACACAGAAGCAGAGTAAAATACACTTCATTAAATATCAAGAATAAAAATACAGTTGATATGCCGCTAATTATATTAATGCTTGCAATATTGAAGACAAATAAATAAAGGTGCTTGGATTATACTATCTGAAACAGCTTCTGAACTTCCTAGCTGCTTTAGAAGCCAAAAGTCAAAGCAATGAGTCTAGGTTCAGTTTCCTAAGTAATAAAAATTCTTGGCTACACATGGTAATTCTGACATTCAAATGAAATTAATCAAATCATCAGCAGACTTGTACACTTGAAAAGCAATTTTTAATTTACCCTGACAACAGATTCTATGTTGTAGCTGATAACAAACTTGGCTGCAAGTGCAAAAGTAGGCTCAAAATCTGTTTCATGCTGACATAAAATGGCAGTAACAGCAATACCTACAGCTTCCAGGAAATGTTACATGGTTCAGAGGCTTCTGACAGAACAACACAGACATCAAATTCAGCAAATGACAATTTCTAGAGTTCACATTATTTTTTTTCTTGCATTTTCATATATCTGTTTTCACATATAAGTAATTGAAGGCACAGTGCTGTTTATACCATGAATATGTGCATCAATATTATCCACAGGTGATGTATTGGAGACTGACAACAATTCACATTTCCATACCTTCCTTTGTGTGTTGGAACTCCCTAAAACCCTTTGCAAAGCAAAAAATATCATAATCGAGGAGAAACAGTGATAGGTCATCAATACGGTAGTGACCTTCTGTACCCAGGCTTAGCAGCCATTCTAAGTACAGCAGTACTTCTGAAATATGAGCGCCAATTAATAGTTCTGCCTGTGAGGGATCGTTTATATAATCACATGCACTACTACAAACTGCATGTGCAGTTTTTTGATACCACTGCAGAAGGACAACAATTTCATTAAATCAGTATCTGTACTTTGTCGAGAGGCCAGTAGGTTTCCCAAAGTTCCCTAAATGTCTTAAATGTGTGTGACCTTATGCTAAGCTCTGGCTGAGTGAACTCCCAAACCAACACACCGGATAAATAAATATATTTATAAAGCAACTGCTGCAGCACTGGCAATAGTAACAAAGGTAACAAGGAAGAGAAAACTAAACCTATCTTTCCATGCTTACTACTGCTTACAACAGCTGAACACCCCGCTGAATCTCTCTAAAGAGAACAATTAGCTGACCTTCAGGAGCTGAAATTCAGATACCTACTTATAGCCGCTCTTCCATGCTCTCTGCTCCTCTCTTAGCTTCATAGAGTTTTTGAGTTCAGTAGTTCTGTGGGCTTTCTGATCTGGAACCATCCCTCCAGCAGCACACTCACCTGCACAGGCGCAGCCGCACATGGAGCAGCGGCAGCCCTGTAGCTATCCTCCAGGGGTCACAATTGGGTTACAAATTCTATAAAATGTGATGACTGTGCAGAGTGATTTAGAGCAATTTATTCACATCCTTCTTCATTAAGATTCAAATGGAATAAGATAGAAATTGAACAGATACAGAAAATGTGCATGGCTTGCTTCTGTAGTCAGTAAACATTTATTCACCAGGCACAGCTCTCTCTCATGTTCTCTCTCGTATTCTCTCTCTTCCCCTATCCTTCCTGCTTGCTGTTTTAATGCATAATTAAGAAGGTCAGAATTAATGAAGCATTGTGGAGTAAAGTTCAAGGGATCCCCAGGCACTATTTATTCTATTAGATCTCAGGCATGAATGCCAGATTGGCAGCATTAGAGGCAGAGGCAGTGTGGCTGGCAGCAGTCCAGAAGCAAAGCTACCAAGGGAGACTTACCTGCAGTGTCAAGTCATTGCTGAGCTCCCTCCCTGCAAAAATCACCCGCAGCTGGTCAGCTGGAACTCCCTGTCGCTGGGCAACCACCTCCTTCAGCTGGAGGATGCTGGCATCTGAACCAACCTCCACAGGGAAACCATGGCTAGAGTTGAACCTGACGAACACTGAAAAAGAGTAAAACACCTTCTAAAGCAAACATTTCTCATGACAAGTTTGTACTTGTGACTACAAGAGGCTTACTCTTCTATTTCAGGGAGCATGTACTAATTTCAGAGAAAAGCTATTAATATTCCAGTATAACATTCTGAAACCCATCACAGAATAGTTAGTGATCAATAAATAAAACCCACATGTTTTCTAACCCTTGGCAGTGCTAGAAATTACAGAGAACAGTCAGAATCAAAAAAGACCCAGCTAGGCAGCTGTCTAACTAGTTGCTAATTGGTAAAATACATTTCAGTTCAGTCCTAACCTCAGTGGGCATGGCCCACACACGATTTCTGTGCCCCCTCACACTCTTGCCCACTGCATGTAACGAACTATTGCAGGAAACTGAGGTAGGCTTTAGAGCCAAATATATATTAAATAATACAAGGGAAAACCAATTCCTTGTTACACAGTAAAGCACAGTGATATAAACTGGCTTCCCACAGATATAATTCTACAGAAGATAATGATGGAGAGAAAATCACATGCTAGCAGAAATGTTTGGGAGTATTACAGCATGGTCTTTTCAGAGTTCACTAAAATATCAGCAGTACATAACTCCTGCTGGCATCCACCTTCAGTGCAGAAAATCACTACAGCACCAGTCACATCATTTTTAGAGCTGCAGCAACTGGTTTATGCAGCCAGTGAAGTCTGGCAAACAAACATACAAGCTTCCTGCCATTCAGCTGGCAGAGGTGTTTTCCGTAAGGAGTTTGAAAGCGCTCATTGAGCCCATGGTCAGGGGAATTACTACAAGAACTATGAAAGGGGAAAAAAACCCATTACATCCATACCAGTCACAGAGACTGTATGAACAGCAGACATGTCCCCCGAGGACTGCTTCAACCAATAGCTCCACAGGCAGGAAGCAAAGGAATTAGCAAAACCCAGTATAAAACAAAAAATTTCTATCAATTAGACAGTGGGCACCTGTCACCTAAACAACTTGGGTATTGATTGTAACAACCAGTCTTAAAGATTTATTTCCTGTTCCCACTGCAATCCTTTAGCTGAAGATGTTATTCCTTTGTATTTTTGATGACTGACAGAAGCATAAGCTCAAAAGTATTTATATTCTTTCAAGATACAACTCTTTTTAAAACTGAAAACTGTATTTCTTGTTAGTTTTCAAACACACAGTTTACCCGACCACTCCAAAATCAGGTATTTTAAGACCATTTCAGTATGGCTGAGAATGCTGCCATTGTCTTGCTGAGCAATGAAGGTTGTAAATATCTCCAATTTCACATCTTCAGTTCAGATTTGTCTAATCTTTAAGGGACAAGGCCATATACCAGCAAAATTTAACACAACATTTTAAGTTTAGCACTTGAAAATACCCTCTTAATATACTAAAGTGGAAGGTAAGATTGCATAATGTTGTGTCAGGCAGGGTGTAGTACATATGCCCTGCAGTGTGCTACACAGTCTCCTGTAGTACATTGAGTTACTGGTTATGATTTCTATTTAAAGGTGTTCTGGAAAATAGCTAAACTATGAAAAGCTCAGTAAAATCAGCAGAATTTGGATTTTATTGTGGTTTGGAAAGGTAGGGAGGATTTATATGACAAAAAGGAGTTCCAGCCAATGGGAACTGAACATTCCCCATCTTTTCCAGGAATACTCATAATGCTCAGCTGTAAATAACATTATCTGGGCTGGTAGCAAAATATATAGTTAAATCAATGGAGAATAACAAACTTTTTTAATATGCTAAGCTTTGACTATCTGACTATGGCATATATGCATACATTTAGACATTTATATAGATATGTTCACATACACACATAAAATGCACAATGTGCATCTCCAAAGGTTTCTTCCTAATAAATAATCTCCCTCAGTCTTACAAAATCCACTGCTATTGGTTTAGGAAATGAAAAATAGTTAGCAAGTACACTGACTGCAAACCAAATGTGTTAGCAAAAGGAAAGTGCTTCACAAAAGAAGCATAAACAAGTGTCATTTAAATTGATTATAAAGCATTTTTAAGGACAGTATAAATCCAACACATTTACCACAAGCATAATTCATGTTCATCGTCAACAATTCCCATCCCTTTCCTCAAATAAGTTTATTTTTATCCACTTCCAACAGATACAGTCTCCTTTTCCCAACCTATATGAGGCAGTGGAATTTTCAGTCTCACAATTGTAACCACAAGCAAATGTGGAAAACGGGTGCATGAGTCCAACACTTTGCACACCACAGCAAAGATTACACTACTGTCTTATAAGCCTGAAGAGCTAACTCAGAAAAATGCTAGAATGTCAAACTTCACTTGCTGGAAAGTTCTAATTCACAAATACTTTGCCCTTAAACACGTTTATTCTATTATGAAGTCTGAAATCCACAAAGCCTCTTTAATGTAAAAGAACAGAAGAGACCTTTGCTTACTTGCACAGAGCACAAAAAGATTAAACACAAAACTTCAGTCTGTGGAATAAAAACAGAATTTAATTAATATATTTTGAGCTTCTTTCTAAGTAAAAGAAACTTACTTTCTTTTTGACATTTCACCTCAATCGAATAATCACTATCAAGTTGATACATAGAACACGTTATTCAAGGGATCACAGGTGAAGTTATGCAGACATTTGAGACCTCTTCCAAAGAATACATACTTTGAAAAGTCTTAGAATTTAAAGTTTGTCCTGGAAATTAGTATTGGCTTAACAGAAGATGAGGCCTAAATTGCTGATTGAAATCCAAAAGAAATAAATCAAGTTACTAAAATTAAGAAGTAGCTAAACAAAGCTGAAAAAAGGAGGGCCCATTTGTATCAGTCCTCCTACTCCCACATCTGTAAGAGGTGACAAGCAATAAAGCTTGTCTGATAAAAGGAAACTTTGTGAGACTTGACTGTCATGCCAAATGATAATCTCTGTAAATATCACAAAGATCAGATTCCCACCGGGACCAAGACGTACCTAGGTGCTTTTGTAAATCTCTTTTGCATCTACTTCAATCTCTGTATATCTTTAAAATCTCACTTTCAAGTCCACACGTTAAGCATAGTACTGAATGAAGGAAAGCAGTGTAACTGAAGGAGCAAATAAAAAAGAAATATGTAAAGATTTCATTACATCTTTCAGATACATAAGGTGTTCATCTTCATGCAATGATTTTTATTTTACATCTAACAGTTGGACAGTAATAATCTCCTGTTTGGAAGGATCAGCAAGTGCTACATAAGGAAATACTTGTAGTTTAGTAAGTTTTGAATATTTTCACGCGAATTTCCCAATTCCAATCCACTACTAAAACTGAGTCAGCAGCACAATTCAATCACTTAGGATACAATATGATGAATAACTTTTCCCCATGAAGTAACAAAAGAATTGTTAGTGAAGGGAAAATAAGTTAGGATGATTGTGACTAAAATCTTGTGTTCAAGACAATCTTGGGTTCAAGACAATCTTTAGCTCAAGACAATACTGGTCCTGGCCATGGGTCCATCCGTTACGCTTGAAGTTGCTACACATGTAACTGGGATACTGAAAGAAATGTGCATCTCAGCTGTGCGTGTTTACAATTCAGCATGTTAATACCAACACAACTGAAATTTAAGCAAAGGTAGATACAAACTGGTTAAACTCAGACGCAAGTACATGGGGCAGGTTTGGAGGGGAGCTGCAGAATTTCAGGCTGGAGAAAACTGTTGGATCTCAACAGGCCATTTCTCGGAGCCCTGGCATTCAGCAGCCTTTTTTCTTTGGAATTATACCAAAAGTGCCAACACTTTAACCACCACTGCCATCAATCTGACAGGTTTTCTAGTTCTGAATAAAGAAGATAAATATTGCATTTTGGAGAAGCTTACACCTTGCTTGTGAACAAACTGTGAAGGAACAGTCCCAATATATGGAAGCAAAACAATTGAACTGTGCCAATAATGCAAAGAAACTTGTTGATGTTTTTACATTGCTACATACAAAACACAAATTTCCTTTTTAGATTTGACAGAAACTACTCAATTTTTTTTCTTCCTAAAGTAGTGACTAAGACAATCCTGCTTCACTGCAAAACAAAGCTACAACCTACAATTTATGATCTGTTGCAAAAGAATGTACATATTTAAGATCTTACTGCTGAGCAATTGTATTGTGTCCATGATAATTATGGCTGCTTCAGGTACTTTTTATTCCCCATTCTTCCTAGATACAAAAAGAATATAAGCAAAGATTAACACAAGGATGGTGTGAAAAATGTGTAATTTTTTCTATTATTTTTAAAAGCCTTTTCCCTACTGAGCTCAGATGACAAGACCTTTGAAATGTCTTTTCCGAAGACTGGGGAAAAAAGTCTTGTGACAGTATCTGTCTGTGGTGATCAGTACCTCTTTGGCTCAGCACATGACTTTAGAACACTGCTCTTCTCCGCTCAAAAATCCACAGCCAAACTATTTCACACTAGAAAGTACTGTCCCTTCTCAATATTATTTTTTTCTCATAATCCGTGATTAATAATTTATCCAGTAAAATGAACTAGTTTAGCACAGATTAAAAACAGGAAAATGTACAGAAAGGATAAAGGAAAAGAAGGCGGAAATTAAGGTAATGCAAAATCCTAGCTACCTGCTAGAGTACTATGAAATGTTCTGTAAGTCCCTCCATTATGGCACGATTGCACATCACCTCTCAAGGAACAGCCTGGAGGAGCTGTTCCAAGTATCTTTTTTGTTTCAATAAATAAAATAAGAACATATTTTTCAGATGCTTGGGGTTCTTGCATACTCTATCTCATGGTGAGATACTGTTCTATTATTTTAATCTTTATATTTGATGAACATAAGATACATTTGTAGGCACTTTATGAGCCCCAAATGAAAATCAGTTGCTACCTGGAATTTCTATAACGTAAATTGTAGAAATGCAACTGTAGGATATATGTAGCGCAAGAAACTAGTAGTAGAACACAATATAATGTAATGGTAGTAAATCTTGTGCCACAA